TATTGTAATCTCCAGGATGAGATACGAGTGCAAAAGGTTAACCTTCTGAAAAATATCCTGTTTTCCCAGTTTGATAGCGCACGGAAATAAAAGTACTTAAGCGGGCCCAGAAACTCGTAGAGACATCTCTTCGTGGACGATCGAAGATCCTCTCTCTTGCGTATCGCGCGCAAAGGTGCTACCAGTGTATTTCCGTTAAATCGCAAAAGTAATAAATTAAATGAGAAACTTTCATTGAGGATCCATTGTTCATCGCAGTACGCAATTTCGAGGTGTACCTGCGTTTTTCTCCTATGCGAAACAATATTTTGATAACCTATCCATGTATAAACTTGTCACGGCTGCGCGCGTCGGCACATGACGCAAGATAAATTAGTTGTAAACATGTTTATCGGACAAATTCTGATATTAAGTTTGATGACCTTTTCTCTGATACCAATTTTACTGTAGCATCACCGCATGTTCAAATAATACAAATACAATGTCGACGTTTAATGACCCTTATTTTTTTACTATAGTCCCGGAGGAAGGAAAACGTTCTGTTAATATTTATTGTTAGCGCATCGATAATATTGTCACGCGACCGGTTCGCCAGCAAAAACGTTGTTTCACCGTGAAATTACATAAAATATCAAAAATCTCAAATCCAAATTACCAATAACATCCTACGGTTAAGCGAGGAATTAATCAATTGAGTTTACAAACGAATCTTCCTTTCTCCAACTCTTTATTGTATTTCCATTATACTCAATCTCCAACAAATATAACGTTGCTAATTTACCAAAACCAAATGACTAAAACCGCATACCTAAAACATGTACAAACCAAAATCTCCAAGCAACAAAGCAAACCAAACACTAAAACGAAACTTCTAAAGACATCGAGTTATTAACCCTTCTCAACACCAAACTAACAATTACCAATAAAAAAAAGAAATTAACCCCACCGCTTCCCCTAAAATATAAGTAGACGATAATATTAATCAAAGTCGGGCACGATTGTTCCACGAAACATCGAAACGATGGCGGCTCGCGTAGAACCCGAGCCAGCCGCGTACAATTTGACATGAGACAAACGTTCCGCCGCGCGCAGCAGCGTACTGAGGGGTGGCCGGGGACACGGTGGTTATTTGCAATTCAGCCCAGGTATCCGGTATCCCGAATTATGGTTGAAGAGGCTGAAATGCCCGCGCGGAATACCAGGGAAAATCATTTTCGACGGACGCGCGCACCGCTGCCCGCCGTA